AGTGAGGTATTGGAAGCAAATAGGAAAAAATACTGGGAAAAGGGATCTGTACAGTACTAAAAATCACCATGCCTAGGAATCTTTGTCTGGGCAAAGTGCTGTGGTGCTAGGTAGTGCAGAAAAATGCAAATAAAAAGAGATGAACCCAAAGAGCTTAAGATTAAATGTAAGTTATGAATAAATAACTGACTTCACTCCTTGCTCTCGATTGTCTGGTCAGATGAAGTATCACATAATGACTCAAATTCATTCATGTTGGAACAACCAAGGTCTTTAGTGACATTTGCATCTATTAATTACAAGGATAAAATTGGTGTTGAATGAGGGAAAAAAACCCAGTTCCCTTAATAAATGCAGTAGTCTTTAAAAACATTGATAGTTCATGGCAATGTCTCTATGAAATTGTATTCAATGTAAATTTGTCTGTAGCTACAGACTGAAGTCATGATGAATATTTTCTTGTTAATAACTTGTTAGTAACTAAGGAGTGAGCTGTGGTGAGGTGCATCTGTGGTCCCTGCTTCATTAATACCTAAACAGAAATTAGCCAAACTCTCAGGTATACCAGAGAAGCCAATATACTATTCACCTTTTATGCAGGAATTAAGCAGAGTTTAGTCCGTTGCAGTGTGAGGAAACAGTCCAACAGCTCTACTATACGTTAAAGCTACAGTTGTGGCCTACAGGGAGTGATTTACTGAGAGATATTGAACAGGTTTTCTCTTTTATAACAAAGATTCTTTGAGACAATTCTTCTTGCCTAACCTTATATATAATATAGTTACTGAAATGTGGAGTTGCATTGCAAATATCTTCACTCGACATTTCTCCAAAAGCCAGGTCACCTTAGTTGCTGAGAGTTTCCGTGGTCCTTTGAGGACCATTTTATTAGTTATGAGACATTAATCACAGAAATGCACAGGCAGCAGCTGACTCCCTCCCCATACCACTGCATTTAGTGAGAAGCACAACAGTCCTTTGAAGTCAAGAATAATTTCAAAGCAAATCTTAAAGTTGTCAGTTTCTTTAAAATCACTGCTTGCTTTTCTCTTTCCCCTGTATGAAAATAACCCCCTACTTTTTAAAGAGGTGGTTGACCAGGCTCCATACCTTCTCACTCCAAAAGGGATGTCTGGCAGCATGACCTGTGAAGTGAGTAGTCCTGTCATGGCACGAATCGATCAGAAAATGTGGAGAAGGCAAAGATGGTCATCTTTCAGCCTAGAGTTGACTTTCTTTGCAGAATCAGAATATGCACTAGACTTGAAGAAATATCTGAATTCTCCCCTACCTCTGAAACGTTGCAATTTCTTTGTATGGTGGGAAAGCTGCATCAGAAATATGAAATGAGTGGAAGAAGAACTTAAAAGTAAAAAAAAATGCTCTTTCTTCCAGTACAGACTACTGCAAGAGCCCTGTTTCTGGATTATGTCTATTTCATTGTATGATAGAATATAGGTATATCCTACAGATATATATAGATATATGATAGAACTTAGGTATCTCCAAAGGTGTATTCACATCTTTATTGGGATGTTCCAAGAGATAGTTCAAAAGGAAACTGACTCTTCTAGTAATTTATTTTTTTTTTTTTTGATGCAAAATATTAGTCTCTGACTATGGCTGTCAGTTCTGGAATTTTAGCCCTATTTGTATTGAAGTCCTTTTCCTCCCATGGTGCCATGATGATGTTGTCTGTCAGTCAGCATCATTGTGGCCAGAAAAATAAATTTCTGAATTGAAGCAACTGCTCAAATGGCAATGCTGTGTGTACTAAGTCCTTAAACAATAAGACTTGAAATTTTAATACCAAACTCTATATTCATGGGGATTTTTGTGGGTTTTGTTTGTTGGGGTTTATTTATTTATTTATTTTATTTTCAGGAAAGACTGCTTCAAGTCAGCTCCTTTAAGTTAATGACTGTGAACTGAATGATGTGACTGTGGGAGTAAAGACACATGAAACTCAGTGAAACTTGGTGGGAGAATTAGTTCCCTTTTCTCTCTCTCCTCAGGAACCTGAAGTACAATATGGCTATAGTACAGGTCTAATACTGAAGCTCTATCTGAAGAGCAATTAAGAGGAAGATATAGATGAATGTTGGATTTTTTCTGCATAGTTGTGTCTTACAATATTAAGAGACTATACTTTTAACTTTTTATCGTTTAAGACAGTATGTATGTGCAACGTGCACAGGGGAAACAAATCCTAAATATGTCCTGTGACAAGACTAAGTGGTTTGTTTCTCAACAAACAGATTAAAATTTTGCAATCTTATGACTCCTTGTGACTGCGGAACATGTTGATAATGCACACTGAGCATTATAATTTCATATACCGTATATCAACAAGCCTTTGAGCAGGTGCAGATAGGAAGAGCAGAGCAAAGCCAGACTAGAAGTATTTACTTTACTTTGCTGACTGCTTGGACTGGATTGCAGCCACCAAACCATACGTCATCATCTCCTCCCGCTTACTGACCTCATTGTTAAAATTAGTCCTTTTAGGTGCTGAATCTAAACTCATAATTACATAATTTTAGCCAAGATTTACAAAGGGACTTTATGAAAGTGGTGTTTGCTAAGCTGGAATAAGGTTTCCAAAACTAGGTTAATTCATCCAGAATGCTTTTTGAATACAGACTCTAGTCATGTTAAAAATAACATTTGCCCTGGTTGACTTGGATGAATTGTAGAGTTTGTCTGTGTGTAGTGTGGAGGAGGGATTCTGCAGTATGTGCTGTTTACAAAAAGCTCTGTGTGCTGTCAGGGAGTGGAGGCACACGGAAGAATTGCTCTGCCAGTGGTGTCCATCTCCATGTTGATTTTCTGCTCTTTCTACTCCTGCTTCTCCATCTCCTCGATTGCCCCTCTGTGAAGGCTAGAAAGCCCCAGTTCAGTGCTTTTCCATGTTTTAGGATAGCTTCTTCTCTCATCTTTGTTCCACTCAACAATAAAGCAATTGAAAACACTGTCTTCAATAAATGTACCACATACTTTTGGTCAGAAGATTCAGCGAAAAAAACCCAAAGCGATTTAATTTTCTCCTGAGAATTTTTAAGTTTCATTTGCAGGACTGATTTTATTTCAGCACTTAGCATATTACAGGTTTTGCAAACAAAGTGTGTAACTGTTGTTGGACAGCTCGAAGAAAGGCAATTATGATCAATGAAGAATTGTTCTTATGTGGCGAAAAGTTAAGCACAGGAATGAAAGATATCGGTACCAACATTATGGAAAATGTTGATATCAGTCCAAAAATGGTACAGTCTTTCAAAACAGAGGAAAAGACAGGGTTCGTTTAGGCTGGGCAACAATGTTGCCATGATGTAAGGTCAAGCTTATCCATGAAAACAGCTTATTGCATTGTTGTAGAACTGGTTTAATTTAGACACTACTTCTTGTCTAAGCTGTGGGGTGTAAGCAATGAGTTTTCAAATGGCTATCTGCTCCTTGTGCCTATGACCTCTGAGGTCATATCTCCCTCATAAGAGGAACAAACCCAAACATAATGGAAGGGTCATCATGTAAATTTTGCAGGAGGATTTTGGATTCTGATGCAGTGCTAATACAGTGAAAAAAAACCTAACTGTAAATGTAAATAAATATTAGTCTTTCGTGAGACAGCCCTCTGTGGTTAAGCATGGAATAAGTAAAACTTAAACAAACAAAAAAATCAGCTATATTTACTTAGCTTTCTGTTCTCTGTGACTTTTGGATGCTCTCCATCCATGTTTTTATAATTCAGTTTAGAACCCACACGTTAACAGGCTCTCTTTGCAAATGTTAGAAAATTCAAGATCTTGTAACTTTGTTGTTCTTTCAGGAGTCTTCCAGTCTTCTTATTCTCTTTCTTTCATACAAAATTATGCACACATCCTTATAAAAAAAGCTATTTTTGGAGATCGCAATCTCTGACACTTCTGAGATCCTTTGCAGGGGCTATAATAAAGTGCAACACTGAAGGCAGTGAGATAAAGTGAATGGAAATATAAAGAGTATGCGACATAAGGTTTTGAGGATCCTTTTAGCAAAAACCAACCCAAATCTCAGAAATCAAAGTCAGTTCTAATTTTGATAATAGTATGGCCAGAATGGACCAAGCTTATAACAATGACAAGTATGTATAAAACTGTGGAATCTGAAAAGCATAAATGTAGAACTTCTTCTCATGAGTGGTCAGTTGCAATATTTCAATTCCATATTCAAATATTTTTTGTTACAGTTGGTTTTGCCTGCCTTTTAGCTATTATGGTACCTAATGGGTAACTGTAAAGGTCTAAGGCTCTGCAAGTGCTTATCCTGTGAAACTTCTTATTTGAGCATTGATACAAAAATTTAGTATAAGAAATATGGGAGAAATAAAAATTGCTTTGGATTACATGTTTCACAGTAACAGATCAAAAGGGTATTTTTTCTGTATAATGTGTAAAAACATACCTTTTACTTTACCAGATTAAGTGTGCTAGTAGCATATGCAGCTTGTGGAACAATGATTCTCTAAGAACATCTCTACATCTTTTAGGGTGAATAAATAGCTACCAAGGCATCCTCTAGTTTGATTAAAACTGCAGTCCTGTAGAAAGAATTTTAACTATCACTGTTTCTGTATGAAAAATGCATGAGTTTGTGTCTCCCAACGATAAAATCTGAGAGCAACATCTGGGACAGTTTGTTTTTTAGGCTATCCTTTCCAAAAGCAGTTTCATGGCTTAGGGGTTTACTTTTCACTTTTCTAAAAATGATTATAATGCTGATCATAAAGTAAAGATGATGACATGGCAGAGAAAAAGAAGAATGTTGCTATTTTCTTAAAAGTATGTGGAATAACTCACATACAAGTACACTGTAACTGTAAAGCTAAAATGTTTTTCATCTTTTCTTCCATCCATTCATGTTCTATTTCATGTAGAATGCAAAAACTCAAATCTTTTAAAAGGAATCGTTTGGTGAAATATATAGTGCAAGGTTACATGCAGATTTGTCATGCAAAATGACACCTAAAAACCATCAGGAAACTGAGTGGGACTGCAAACACGGTTAACTACAAAAATAGGCAACTTTATTTCAACAACCTCTAAGTCACTGTCAGCATTTGTGTGAGTGCAGATAGGGACATGGGCAGGACAGAGCAAGTTTTGGCCCTGAGGCTGCCTTTGGATCAGCAGGCATTGCCCCAGAAGTAAGGAGCTGTGGTCCACTGCAGCCTGCACTGGAGCCTGTCCATCCTGCTGCTCAAGCCATATTTCCTTTCCCCTTAGAAACTGCAACACCTCCTGCAGCAGGTTAGAAAACTGCAGCAGCTTCTCACATGGAAATGGACACAGGGGAAACCTGCCCAGCTGTATTGGTCTTGGACTTGGTGTCTGCAGGGGGGTTGAGATGTAGACAGGCACTGGCACTGGAGTAGCTGCTGCTGCTGCTGCTATTGCTGGGCTCTGGCCCATCTGGACCAGGATGCAGCTGCAGAAGGACTGAGTGGAGATGTAGACTCCAGGCAGCTTTTCTGTGGCACAGCCTATTCCCCAGCTGGTCAAGCAAACTTACCAGAAGTCAGCATTGTTATCTTTGCAGACAAGAGGTCCCCCAGTGTCAGCCTGCAGCAGAGCAGAGGACTAAGGTGGTGTCAGGTGGCCCCTATCAGAATGTAGGGCTGCATCCTTCACTCTCCCAACCCCAGCTAGAGCTGGATTCCCAGCAGAGCAAGGCTCTGCTCAGGTGATGGAGCCTCTAGAACCTCATCTGGGAGCAGGTCCAGGGTTGTTTAAGGCAGGGCTCTCTCTCCTTTGTGCTCAGGGTTCCCAGAGGTGTGGAGAATGGATGTCTCAGGGTTAGCATCCAGACCTCTGGGCTTCCAAGATGGCCTGTCTGGGCAGAGTGCCAGGCCCCTGGGACAAGGGAACACTGGGCCCTTCTCCATGGATGGGTAAGGAGAGGGAAGCCCCAGCAGTGGGGGGGCCCAGGGTCAGGAGGGCAGCTGGCCAGGCAAAGCACGTGCTGGGCTGTGTTTGGGCAGTGGTGACAGGGCTGCCCACGCTGCTGGGGGCTGAGTGACTGGAAGCACACTCCTACCTGGCAGGTGTTGTTACCGTCCTGTGGGTACCCAGCACACAAGTTTTGGATGTGGATGTGCCCTGCATGCCACTGGTTGCTGTTCCAGAGCTGAGTATTGATGAGGTGGACCTTGCCTCCTACAGGACAAGAGTCCCTTGTGCAGCTGTGAGCAGAGAACAGAATGAGTACCCAGCAGCTCCTTGCCTGTTCCCCTGTCCTGCCTGGGAGTGAAGCCCTTCCCAAGGGCTTGGGTCTGCCTCTGGAGGGGTGTTGGATCTCTGTGTCCCTGCTGTCTGGCTTTGGGGAGTCAGGCAGGCCCATCTCTTCAGAGGCAAGCATCCTGCAGCCTGACTCTGGTTTTGGCCTCTGCTATTGGGAAGACCAGCCCATCTTTCCCCAGTGTGACAAGCTTGCCCTCGGGGCATGGATTGTTTTTAGGAACTCACTTCTTGCAATGGTGGCACCACAGCCAGAAACATAACAGCTTTTCAGCTCTAACACTCTCAGCATGGCATCAGGCAGGCAGGCAAGCTGGACTGAGGGGCTGCATAGGACAGGCTGGTCCAATTCCAGCATGGAGATGTCATTACTCTCAGTGACAGGAACTTAATGTTTGTGAACCATCAGCCACTTAATCTGGTGCACTTGCACCCCAGGGTTCACCAAGTGACTCAGCAAGGTGGCCCCAAGTACCATGTGCTTGAGGGGGCTGGAAGGCAGATGGAGAAAGGGGTGAGAGGGAGCAGAGCCATGTGCTGCGGCAGCTCAGCAGTTCCCTGCCTTCTGCTTCCCAAGGCAGAGAGGAAAGCAGCACTGCGGAGGGTAAAAATGCCCTAGCATATTTTAGGCTGCAGGAATGCTGAGCTGGAGGCTGCTAGGAAGCAGTGTCATGAGCTCAGCCTTCTTCCTGAGCAGTCTTTCAGCAGTGCTCTGCAGTGCCCAGGCACTGGGCACACTGCAAGGAAATGAGGTGGGAGTAGGACAGGGGGCTGGGGACAGGAGCACCTGTTGGTGTTGTGGGGATACCACTGTCCCCTGGTCCTCCTTACTCCTCATTTCCTTGCAGTGGGCTGCTGAAGGTCCCTCCACAGATACACTGCATCATTTCTTGTGGGGGAGGGAGGGGTGTTGGGCGGGACAATGCAGAGTCACAGAAACATAGAATGGTCTGGGTTGGAAGGAACCTTAAAGATCATTTTGTCCCAACCCCCAGCCATGCTCAGAGACATTCTCTGCTAGACCAGGTTGCTCAGAGCTCCATCCAACCTGTCCTTGAACACTTCCAGGAATAGGGCATCCACAGCTTCTCTGGGCAACCTGTGTCAGTGCTGTGCTGATGACTAAATATTTTATACATTGAGTGGTACATTAGATCATCTGGAAATCGTTACAGAATTGGTGGCAACAACAATATGAACAAAATTTTAAAAAAAGGCGACGCATTCCAGGTTTTAAAAGTACTTTGTGACACTGTTCTGTCTGCCTTAGTTGAGGCGGAAAAATCAGGGAAACAAATGTAGCAATCTATTGCCAAAGTTGTTTTGATGTTATTTAGAAACTACGTATCAACAGAAAGGTTCCACTGTGGTTTTCCTTTTACAGAAGAAACTGGAACCCCTTTGGTGTGTTAGGCCTGTTTATTTAATTGGTCCCATTTTACTACAGAACAGCTTACCCCAATTTCTCAAAGTGCAGCAGATGCTGTAAGTTGGACACAGCAGCTCTCTGCCTGTTCCTCTCCCCTGTCTTGGGCTGAAGCCCTTCCATCTTCTGGGCAGTGTGGCCTCTTGGACATGCACGTGCTGGGGTTTTGTGAGGCCATTTCAAATAAATTAAAATAAGCATTTTAATTTATTATACTTTCTAAAAACTAAATTCTTCTGTCTTCAAAGAACTCATATACATTGGCAAACCAAGTTTCTACTATTAAAAAAGTCAGTTATTTTCCTTATTAGTAGTAACTGATCCTTAAAAGCAAATTTGAGGCAATTTATAAAAATTTAAATAGGCAGTAAAAGGATAAAGTGTTTGAAGCATTCTTTTCACGCTTCTTTTTTTTTTTTTTCTTTTTTTTCTTTTGCTCACAGGATCTCACGTGAGTAAAGGCAATAGGCAATTGGATTTTTAAAGAAAAAAGGATTTTTAAAGAAAATTTAATACTGTTTCTTAAAAACTAGAGTCTTAAGGTTATTTTTTTATTTTTTATTTTTCATCACTGAAATGAAAAAGACATCATTTTTGACAAGTTCTTACATCTCTCAGAAGAACCTATAGTCCAAACAGGAATCACATTACTAAATTTTATGTTAGACTGTATGCTAACTTAGTCATGGATCACTACATAACTTCTGCCTTCAGTCAGTGCAGAGGGCAGTTAATTTTGTTTTAAGGGAAATGTTTTAGATTCCATGAATTTTTCATTTAGCTTAGCTGGTTACTGCGAATTGGTGCACGTCTGTAATTTCCCTTAAAAGAGCTAACAGCTCCTTAAGGTAGGCTGAGTTCACAGGCTTTTACTGAAATGACGTGTTCCCCCAGGTACAATCTTTGGTAGTTGCTAGTAAGCAGAACTCCAGCTTGACTACAAACATTTTTAATAGCAAACAAATTAACCAGTAGCTATTTTCTATTGCTGCTATTTACTTACTAGTTCATAAGGAATAGATGTCAGCATTTCATGACAGACACATTGCCTGTCTGTATTTTGACACAACTGTGTGTTGTATTGACTTGCTTAAACTTCTGTTAGGTTATGTGATTAAAGGCTTAAGTCCAGACAGACAGAGGAGCCCAGCATACCACTGGCAAGTGAGGTGACTCAACAGACCTATAAGAGACCTGAGCACCTGTCCCAGAAAAGCATCAGCCCATCTACCCAGGGCTGGCACCTGAAAGTCCCTCCATCACCCCTCAGCCTGAGGGGTACTGCCAGCAACACTGCAGGACTTAACACGGACTGCAGGTAGCAGAATTTCAGGGTTATGAAAACTTGTCCGTGGATGTTTAAAGCAGGACCTTAGGGGAGGACCACAGGCAGAAAGTGGAGCAATCAAGGTGGTTCTGGGAGGAGCAAGTGGGGGAAATTAGAGGACTAAGAGCCTAAGTATTGGTTGTATGCAAAGAGGTATGTGTGTCTGGCCATGCCCTGTGCCTGGTCATTGAACTACCCTGTCCTCTCATTAAATTCCATTTCTAACTATTTTCCTAGGTAAGGGAAAATAGTCTTTTCTCTGTGTGGAGGTGCTCAGTGCCAACCACTGGACCATGGGACAGAGGGGGGCTGTGTACAGGGGGTGACAGCAACAGAGGAGGCTGTATCATGTGCATGCTGTGTGATTATTGCTATTATACCAGCATGTTAGCAATAGCATAAGCCAAGCCAGACTTGACAGTGACCAGGACAAATAGCTTAGGAAGCCAGGTAGACGTCAGAGCTTTGTGAATTGGCTACTGGAAGAACCGGGGGGGCCAAGTGACCTACTGAGGACTCTGCAGGGTCTGGGAGTTGGTTGAGAAATGTATTTGATGTGTGTTTCATCATGCATTAGGGAATTGGAGACTGGAGGATCTGTGAGCCATCTACTGGGTAGATTGGGTGTCTGAGGTCAGCTACTGGAGGCATCCTCAGCTCGTGTCTGTGTGTGTTGATGTTTTGGCTGGCTGTGCATAAACATATATATGTGTTGTACAATTATGCTTGGGAGTGTGTGCCTGCAGCTACAGATATCAGACCTGGGGGCATGAAGCTGCAGTAAGCTTTCTTCCACCAATCAGACTAACTAATCCAGCTACCCCTAATGCCTTCTACCTTCCAGCAGTCGGCAGAGCACAAACACTTATACACATATAACAGGATATCCCCAGATGGAGTAATTTTGGTCACTTTAGATGGTAAAAACCAGGTAAACAGGTCTTGAAATACCTGTCATCTAGGTCATTTTATTTATCTATACAGATAGAATTCTTTTCCGTTCATTCCTTTTTAACACCCTTTCTCCACTAAATTTTCAGTTTGCTCCTTCCATTAGCAGTGTACAGAAAATGCAACAAATGAAAATTGAAACATTTAACTTCATCATCAATATACATGCTTTAAAAAGAAGGCATTTACGCTATAGAGCTACAAAATTCACTCCAGAAATTAAAGGAAAACAAATAAACCACAAATAAGCAAACCCAAACCCCGATCCCCAAAAAAACCAAAACCAACCAAACAAATTAAAACCGAAACCAAAGCACTTGAAAATGTTTGTTTTTCGTTGGAGTTGCATTATCCCAGACATTAGGGGAATAAGTAGCTTTGGCCCCTCTGGGGAGACCTCATCTCCTCTTCCCACTACTGTCTGTTATAAAATTATACAGCTCAGAATACAATGGGCTGGTCTGCAGAAAAAAAGTATATAAAAGTGGGCTTTTTCCTTTGTTGTTTGTTTGGTTGGTTTGGTTTGGGGTTTTTGTTTTGTTTTGTTTTTGTTTTGTTCTTAGTGTTGTTTATGATCTTACAATATCATTCTCTTTAGGAAATACGGATACAAAAATACAATAAGAAACACTTATTCTGTACCTATTTCGAAAATTGCAGTGTAGCAATGCTCTTCTATCAGAGCCATTCATATGAGCAATGAACTTAATCATAAAACTGAAAAAGCTGATTTAGCCATGAAAATAGAAAGCTGTATTCTTCTACTTGAAAGAAAGGCAGGCTAAGATTTGCATAGTTCGTAACATATTTTTCTTGCTAGAAAGCAGTATTGGATATGCATGGTAAAGTCAAATGGGAATGTTTTATTGAAAATATGTTATTTTCATGTTTTAATATTAATTAGTATATTTTGGGGTTACTGCATAAAATTACTATGTGTCAGAACATATAATTTAAACAATTAAATTGTGGGAGAAACAAAGACTTTTCATACATGTCAATAACCTGGATAGGTGAACTGCCTTTAGTAAGTCAGCACCTACAAAGACACAGAGATTTGTGGAACAGAAATACTTGTAAATTATACAAAAGTAAGTATAATCATATGAAGAATGCAGAAGGGTTGACTGGCTGAAAATATCTAGCAGGATTTTAAGAGGAATGTGTCTGGGAAGCCAGCAAATTTGAATCAACTATTTGTAGCGTCCTTCTCAGACACTTCTGTCTACTGACACTATGAAAGATGTTACCTCATCTCAAAAGATAACCCAATGATTTCTAAGGCATCTTGTTGGCCTCTCATTTGACATTTAGATCATATGTGCCAGGAGCAACTCACCTTAAGGGAAAATACAGTTGGCAACTCACGTGTTCTGTGTAGGCTGTCTTTGCCTATTGACAGGTCAACTTATTTTTAACTGGGAAGAACAAAATCTAGTATTTATACTGAGAAGGTCTTAATATAAAATTACTTCCTTGCATATCTCTAGGAATTCTAGATTAGACTGAAATGAAAAGTCATGCAAGCATTTGATCATAAAGTTGTTTGCTGTAAATACCTTTATGTGAATAAATCATGAATGACTTCATGATTGCTTTCCTGAAACCAGGGTTGGGATACCACAATTTTCACTATAAATATATTGGCTCGTTGTCATTTGTTGTCTAGTGCTTGTACCTCTGCCAGTGAATTTCCAGTGTTGTCATTGACTACAAGGGTATATTTATTATTTATGCATCTATAGGGAGGAAATAACATTTCACATTGCCAATATATTTGTTTTCTAACTGGGCTGGATACATACAGTGTTGCCTAGATCTAAATATATCTTTTCCTGAGCAATCAAAACACTAAAGATTTTCGTCTTGAGTTTTGAGAGGAGTAAAATGATTAGAGGGAACCCTTAGAGTCTATATGGATGTAAAGAAATACATCAGTGTTAAGATATTTCTTAATTAAAAAGATATTTTATAGAAGTATTACATTGGCAATAATAATCACATTGTCATCAACTAGGAAAGCAACTGGGAACTACTGTGGTGTAAGGGAAGATGCCTCCTATCATGGATTTGAGCTGGGGTCTGCAGCATCCATGGCACTTGAAGTGATGGGGAAGCAGGAGCTGGTTTTGAGATGTGGGTCTGAGGGGTCCACCAAAAGATAGGTCTGAAGATGGGCAACCCATGGAACAGGTTCAACATCCATCCAGGGGAAACCTGTGTGTCCCAGTTTGAGCTTATAAATGGGACCTCTGGGATGGATGCCCCAAAGTGGGTCTGGTCAACACTGTTAAGGTCTGATGTTGGGTGTGGAATGTGAAACAGATGTTTACATGATTCCAGAGTGGATTTTGACATCAGTGGGATAACAGTGGGATAATACTTACTACTGCACACTTGCTATATCTATTCCAGATGGTCTTGCTGCTTTAGACCTTTTATTTTCATGTGCATTTAATCATCTGACTGGGCATAGATTTTTCAGTGGGAGGTGCAGAAAGCAGCTGAGTTTTGTTCCATGGAAACTGCACCGTTGTAAGTATGGGACACTGCACTGAGAAGTTTCAAAGTGAGCTACAGACAACATGATGCAGGTCAGCTAAGGAAAAGTCTGGATAGAGGAGGCTGGCATGTTCTACATCCTCTTACTCCTGCTTAATCTCCTCTCCTTTCCTTTCAGAAAGAATATGGTCCTTATGCCAACCCTCACAATACAGTAAGCCCATTATGCAGCCCTGAATGGAGTTTGCTCTGAAGAAGGAAAGAAAAAACTTCAGCAGCCTACAAAGTTAAAATGCATTCTCTAGCAAATGTAGATCCCAAAATGCACCTGAGTCAGTAAGAC